GAGATACAACCAAGATTTATACTGGTTCACCCAATCCCAGGGCTATGTCCAATTCTCAGCCAAATTCCAGCTGAGTTCCACTAGATTGAATGTTTTACAGATTACAGATTTCAATCACACACCCAATCTACCACAAGAACCAAAATTCCAGTCCTTACACCTAAACCTTCACCAAGAACCAACTTCTAGTTCTTAAACCACCCTGCAGCCAAATTCCAACCACTGAAACGAGTGTCCACACTTCCAAACACTCACAATACAGTAATGAAATGTAAAAGAAACAAAGATAATAAACTAGAACACTCAAACCCGGATTATGCAGCTCTGCAGAATGAGTTTCTTCACAAAAGAAATACAGAAATTGCCTCAAGAAAGAACTTTGAAAAACTTAACAAAACTTGTGTGATTCTTTCTTGAAAGTAGCTCTTATGATTGCTTGATTGATTGCTCAAAGGTATTTTTTAAAAGACTCAAGCAATCCTGTTTATATAGAGAATTGTTCTAACTGTTGGTTTAATTAATCTGTTAAAACAATCTTTTAATCTGTTAAAAGTCTTGAATTAATCTGTTAAAACTTCTTTTAATCTGTTAAAATACTCTTGATCATTTTCCAAATTTGTTTTAACTGATGCGACATCGTTTCAATTGATTAAAACACTTTGTAAACAATCTTCTAAGTTGTTTTAATCGATTAATTCGTCTTTTAATCGATTAAAATACTGTCAAATGTTTTCATAAAACTTTCTAAGTGATTTTAAATGATAACAGTCTATTTTAATCGATTAAAACACTTTGGAAAAAATCTCTTAGTTGTTTTAATCGATTAATTCGCATTTTAATCGATTAAAATCCTACCAAATTTTTTCATAAAACTTTTTAAGTGATTTTAATTGATAATACATCGATTAAAATCCTGACAGAACTTCTTTCAAAACCTTTCAAGTGGTTTTAATCGATTAATTCGATATTACATCGATTAAAATACTGACAAAACATATTTCAAAACACTTCAAGTTATTTTAATCGATTATTTCAAGTTTGTATCGATTAAAATACTGACAGAACACTTTTCAAAACATTTTAAATCATTTTAATCGATTATTTCGAATCTACATCAGTTAAAATACTGGCAGAAGGTTTTCAAAAATTCCTTTAATGAAAACAATCGATTAATTCGAAGATATATCAATTAAAACAGTTCCAATGTATGTTTTAAAAGGTTTTAATCGATTATTTCGAAAACCTATCAGTTAAAAGCATGTTATGTAAGTGTTAAGAAAATTTAACCTAATAAAGCTCATATAATATCAGTTAAAACAATTATTTAAAAAGCATTTGACCGATTACTTTGGTTTTTAACATATTAAACACGTTTAGAGGCATTTGAAAAATCTTTTAAATGATGAAACCTCATGTAGCAGAGAGATATGAATGATTATACCTATGTATAAATGCAGACTCACTAATCACTCTACCATTTTAACCAAGTAACCTTTGACATCAACAGAATAGCCTTTGACTTCATTTTGACTTCATCAAATCAACAAGATCTTCGTTTCATCAAATAATTCAATAAGATCTTCATCACTTTCATTACAAACTTAAATTCTAATGTTGGATTATGTTTAATTCATCAACATGTTCACATTATCAACCTGTCTCTATCAAGTTTTTCTTATGGCCATGATGTGAAATATTGTAAGCCTAAGCAGGTGAATCCATGTGTAACAAAAACTTAATAAAACTTTAATCAAATTAACTACCTTTAAGAAAATGCAAATTAAGAAGATATTGTAGAAGATAGATATTGTACCTGTCACTAGTGTTTTTAAATTTTTAATTTCACTTCTATCCAAGTTAAGAAGCTAAGTTGAGTTAATAATATGGACTACATCTCAAGACCTAATCTCCTTAAAAAACAAAAACATGAATAGAATTACATTAAATAATTATAATCATAATTTTTATTGTAACATGTGAAAATATTTTATTTTATTTAAGGTAGCAATCTCATTTGCTACCAGATAGGTAAACCATACAATTAATTGCACCCATATACTGTACTTTCTTTGGTTGCCATGAAATATCAGGACTATTTGCAAGACCAAACTAACTAAAGTTAGAGCGTTGAGTTTCAATATATTCCAGACAACTGAAAATATGCACATTTAATGACCATCAAATTGCAGTCAAGGAAATCAAGGAGGTTTGGTTAATATTAATTACTGATGAAACCATATCCAATCATAATCATAATGGAACCATGTACAACTATCATTCAATTACAAATTGTCTTGACATAACTCATCCCAATCACAATTTCTATTTAGATTTTTTTTTAAGATATTGAAACATGAACTCATAGTATTTTCAAATTGTAGAACCAAAATTAATTTCAATAAATTATAAAAGGATGTTACAAAATGAGAGTCTTAAATAGTATGTTGCTGAAACTCTTTAAAGGAGTTACTATTTTAACTGTCTTTTGTACACTGGATCTAGAACATCTTAGCATGGTAAAGGAACTATTTCTATAAAAGTATACAAAAATAGAGCATTGATTAATTGGAGCTAATTAGTGCAGCCATCAATTAGTGGACAGATGGTACAAGGTCTATGAAAGCATACTGCAATTAACTTCAAAGTGTGTAGAGAAAGAGACAGAGCCACATGGATCATGTTAGGACATATACGTAGGTGGCTAGCTAGAAGCCTTTAGAATTTTGCTCAAAACTTAGGTCCCAAGAATTAATTTCAAAGATATGAAAAACCTTTCTAGTCATAAAGTAATTAACTTGCATTATTATTACCCAGTTAGTCAGTCTCTTCCTTTCCCTCTTGGTAGCTTCTCAATCAAAATTAACTAAAGAACATTTGTGATCACCTCAAGATTATGCAAAAAGACAATCTGATGTAGACATAAATAAACAGTGTATATAGTAACTAGTGAATAAGTGTCCTGATATTAAAGCTATCAAGCATTTCTGAAATGATTGAAAACAAAATATGAAGGGCAGTGAAGAATAGCATAATTTTGTTATAGGATATGTTGTAATGTTATATGGGAATTGTATATGCATGTTGAACATAGACCCTTTATTAAGGTTATTATTAGTAAGCTTTAGAACTAACTTCAAATAATTGAGATGGTGTGTCACTTGCATGTCATAAGATGATGCGTATACATAGTGTTGCATGAGAAATCGAAGGGACTGTGTGACGTGAACCATAATGGCATTAGAGTTAAGAGATGGGAACTGAACGTGCCCAGTAGCGGCGGTAGCAGAAGCAGCGGCAACGACAACTGTAGTAGCGTGAGTAGTTCTAGGTTTCAGGAAAGTGAGATGAAGTGAGAAGGGGATTAGGCCTAGCTTGTAGGAAAGTGAGATGAAGATTAATTTTAAAAAAATATTATTTATAAAATTCTCTACTAATTTATATATTCTTAAATACTTTCTACAAATTTAAATTTATAAAAAATTTACCAATTTTTTTAGATATTTAAAAAAAATATAATTATTTCAAAATAATTTATTTTAGATATAGAAAATAATTTATATATATAATTAATATATTTAGAGTAAGTTTGGTAAAAATAAATTTTAAATAATTTTTTTAAGAAAAAATTGCAATTAATTTTTGTTGATATTTTTCTAAAAAGATCAAAATTATTTTTTATAATTATATATTTTTAGAGAAATTTACAAGTATTTTTTGTAAATAATTTTTTGCAAAAAAAATACAGAAAATAAATAATTTTTAGTAGAAAGTCGACTTGGATTTGCAAGAGATACGTAAAAACAATCTCTAACAAATTTGCATTGAAACTGTGAGAGAATGGTTCCTAACAACTTAATACTCTTTTCAATTTGATATTTGCTATAAATTTGTTATAGTTTATCTATGATTATATGTTACATAATTTAGCTAGGAAATAGCTTCAGAAAAATAAGATAGCTAATATTTATAGCGAGATATTAGTGAGAAAAATTTTCCTAGCTAAATTATTTTTCTGCTAAGCGAGGGAATAGTTACAAAAATATTAGTCTTCTAGCTATTTTGCTACTGATTAGTTACAACCTTATTCATTTACTATTCTATCGCTAATTAACTACAAATTAATGAAAAATAAATTTTGTAGTAAATTTTTCTAGCTAATTGCCAAATTTCTTGTGGTGTAATGACTGATCAACTCCAACAATTGGATCCTTTGACACATTCAACCATTATCGAATAAGAATCAAATCTTCTGATATTGAGAATGGTACATGAGGTTTTCTCTGAGACATATTTTCACCACTTCTATCAAGTTGGATATTATCAAGTCTGATCGAGGAAGGAGGTTTTATGTTGGATGAAGAGGAGTGTTACTCATATTTGATGTTATTGGAGATGGTGGAAACATAAAAAATGGTGGTGGATAAATATAATTTTGGGAATTTTGATAATTTTTACCGGTAAGAGATAAATGATTTTGCAATAAATTATAATAATACTAATAATAAAATTGATTGAGATTCATAATTGGAGAAGAAGAAAAAAATGAGAAAATGAATGAAATGTGACATTTTTTTACCAATGATGGAGGTTTTATAGTGTAAAAATAAGTTTTAACGGCTACTTTTTTTGGTGAGTGACAAACGACTACTCCTTTTTTAGTAACGTTACAGTTTATAATGGTCCAATTTTCTTCTCAACATGCACTCTGCTCCCTCAAGTCTCCTTTCTCCATCTTCATTCTCCATTTTCAATCTCACCCCTCTTCCTCCCCTCACCTCTCATTCTTCATATCTCCTATCTCAGTTTTGTCTTCGTGTTTGTGGATTTCAATCTCACCTCTCTTCCTCCCCTCACCTCTCATTCTCCATATCTGCCTCCACGACCACTATCTCTGTGTTCGCTATAATTGGATTCAAGACGATGAAAACTTCATTTGTAGGCTTGTTGTCAATAGAGGTTAAGTTATCTTCGAAGATCAAGGGGTAACCGTCTGGTGCCCTGTTCTCATTGTATTTGTATGAAGGAATATATGAGACGAGTATTTTTAATTTGTAGAGAATTTCATAGATAAAGGAGCTTCAAATTGTGTGACTCTCTTGTCTTAGTTTCACTTTGCATATGTTTTGTCCATTTATGAGTTTTTATTTTTATGCTTTTGATTAGAAGTTAAATAAAAATAAATTATTTTTTATTTAACATGACGGGTTTATTTTGCTGATTGAGTTCCTTGATATATATTTAAGAAATTTATTTTTGTTGAGGTTGGGAACAAGAAAGTGAAGATGAAGTTAGATAAATTAGAAGATTAGTTGTTGAGAAAGTATTGATAAACTGATTAATGATGACAAATTCATTATGGTTTCTATGATTCCTACATTTGATGATTTTTCTAGTAGATTTAAATATGATATTTTGTGTCAGTTAAAAAATATACAAATAATAATATTTTATTTGAACCATAAGATACTTCTCCGAACATTCTTCTGATGAGATGAAGCAACCTACTTGCCACATAATTTTCTCTAATAGAATAATTACTTGTTGAACTGCAAATAATTTTGAATCATCCACTGGAAATGCTCTTACCTCCTTCTACAACTATAACCGTCCCATCCTACTCCTAAAATCATGCAACCCTCCACAGCCACCCTGCCACTGCTAAATGATGCCACCCTCCACAGCCACCTTTCACAACTATAGCCATACCATCAGTGCCTGAAATTATGCACCCAGTGAATGAAAGAAGGCTCTAATAATCTCATTTGGTCTCATTTCACCTATAAATTGAGGATCCCAATTCTCAACAGAGGACGATTGATAGAAACACATAAACACAGACGGAATAAGGAATATGACCAAAACACACAGACGGAACAACAAATATTGAAACACCGATGTTCAAAAGAAACCCACAAATCCACGCGGTGTTCAAAAGAAATATATAGGTTAACTGTAGTATTTGTTGCTCCTTGCACTATTCGTTAATATTTGTTGTATGAAGGTTTCGTATGCCTCTTGTCTCTTTCTCCCAACTTACTTCAATATGTAAATGAATCCTTTCTTAAATAAGTTTAAAAATATATATAAAAAAATTAAAATACACTTCCCTTCACCACCAACGACCATTGGACACCACCGCAAACCACTGGATCACCGTGGCTCATCACCACAGACCAGTCTTGCCCAAACCACAGTTCGAAATCATCCCAAAACCACTGCACCGTGACCCATCTCCAATACCCTCGCCCTCCGTTCTTGGTGTCAGCCACCGCACCTCCGCGTACGACCACCAATGGCCACTGCAGCAACTCCACCCCTTACCCTCATCCTCACAGCAACTCCACCCTTCACCCTCCCCCTCACCCACCTCACTTACTATTCCCCCACTGCCAACCCAAACCTCCACCGTTAGGTCTCACCCTCAATCCCTGCGCAGCCACCAACCACAGCGAGCCAAGCCTCCCTACTAGCCACCACTGAGCAAGCCCATTTGCTTTTCTCTCGTCATCGCGCCTTCTCACTCTCATCTCAATATACTATTGTGCGGCTGCCCCCATTCCTCCATCGTCATAGAAAAGGTATTAGGATTAGGTTCAAGATATGGGCTTCAAATTGGAGATGTATTTGAATTTGGGATGAAAATGAAAAATAAGGTTCAAATAGTAAAGTAAATATGGAAGGATGTATTTTTTTTTTTGAGATATTGGGCTACTGAGTTTTTTTTTTTTTTTTTTTTAAATCAATTTAACAAAAACATATTTTAAATGGTAAATTTTTTTTTTAAATTATATGTCAATTCTACGTATACAAATAAAAATATAATTCAATTTATTTTCTTAATATTTAAGTTAATAGATCAATATTAATAAATTGACCATTACATTTTAATAATTATTATTTTCTCTCTTCAAATATTTAAATATTAAAGAATTATTAAACAAGAAATATTATTTTCATTAATTAGAGTGGTAACAAAATATTTATAAACATTTAACTTCTTTATATTTACTTCTAATTTGTTATTATAAAATTATAATAATCAAGTAATTTTGATTTCATTATAACAAAATATTTATTTTAAAATAGTTTAAACTTACATTAAAATGATAAATTTATTAATTTAAATAATTATTTTGGATGCAATTTCAATTTCATTATTAATAATCATTTTAAATATACTTCTAATTTGATTATTACATAATATTTTTTTAGTTTAAAATAATTTTAAGCACACCTTTAAATTATTCAAAAATATTTTTCTACGAAGGAATTGTGTCACTTTGATCCTCCATTGCACTTGGAGACATGTAGAAGCATATTGATGATCTTTGTCGAATAAAAAATATAAAAAATATATAGTGTTTTATTTTTAGTAGCAATATTTAATAGATATATAATTTTGAAGGATAAAATAAATAATTTTAAGATATTTAACTTTTCATGTCTAATTAAAAATAACCGTTTTTAGAATAAATGTTTTTGGGTGCTAATACTTTCTCTATACATAATCGACTATCGAATCTAACTTTTTTTCACATAGCACTCTTTTTCTCTTTTTTAAAGGTATTTTTCGATATTTTTCTTAAAATAAATATTATTGGCGACTTCATTAGTTTCTTTCATTTAAAAATGTTTTTCCGTCCCCTCGTCGTGACCCACGTTGCAACAGATGACAAATCCACTAGGGACTCTGAGTCAAGCCTCTCATAATTAGATTTAAAAAGCTAAAAATCTTTTTATTTCTTGAATCCCTCCTTTTATAGTAATATTTGTATGTGTTTATGTGATTTTATATTCACTTATTCATTGTAAATATCTTTGCTTCAATAAAATTCTAAGATAAAAGACATGTTCCTATTGTGTATATTTTTTTTCTGCTTATTTTGCAGATAGTAGTTAAGACTAGCCTCTTCACAACTACACTCACATTTGTTCACACACTTATGAGTGAGGTCCTACTCAGGCCTGAGTGCTACCTAGGGAATGAAAGACAATTAGTGATATTATTTTGGATGTACTTCCAATATGATTATCATAAAAGTCTTATAAAAAAACGTGACTATTTTGCAAGTGTCTACACCTTGGTTGCAATTTCAATTTGTAGTCACAAACTAAGATGAGTAGTAAGCTCTAGAGATCAAGAAAATTTTAGATATTTGACTACCTTTTAATAAGACTCACTTGCTAGAAAAGTTGTAGAATTATTTTGATGGAGAAAATGCAGCACAAGGTTCCAAAAATGCAACAGAAGCACATACACAAATGTTGACGCTGCTTTAGTGGCTGGAAATAGTCCAAAATTTGTTGAAAATGAAGAATCAAATGCTGGAATTCATGCTGAAAAATAAAAGAAGAATGTAGTAGACCATATTAGTAATTTAGTAGCTTCAAATGCAGAAAGAACAACCACTGCAGTTCAAACCAGTATTGATGTTGGTAACCACGAAATTTAAGTTTCATTTCCTCTTTCCAGAGGTAACTCATAGAATAAAAAGAATGAAGAGTTGGATAGTGAGTTGCTACAATTGTTTCAAAAAATTGAAGTGAATATTCCCTTACTTGAAGCCATCAAACAAGTGTCAAAATATGCAAGTTTTTGAAAGATTTGTGCACCAACAAGAGAAGGCTCAAAAGCAATGAAAAGATAAATTTAGGGAGAAATATTTATGCTTTGTTCACTGCATCTAATGTACTGATTACTGAAAAATGTAAAGATCCTAGTGTTTCCATGTGTAATAGGCAATAAAAGGTTTGAACATGCCATGCTAGATTTAGGAGTCTCAATTAATGTTATGCCTTTAGCCATATACTCCTCATTATGCCTTGGATCTATACAACCTACTGGTGTGGTGATACAATTGGCAAATAGGAGCATAGTTCAACCAACTAGATTACTTGAAAATTCTTAGTGAATGTGAACAATCTTGTCTTTCCAGCAAATTTCTACTGGACATGAGAGCTAAGTTTGCTATTGACTTTGAACTTGATTCACCTCCTCTTATTCTGAAAAGACCATTTTTAAAGAGTGTACACACCAAGATTTATACTTATGCTAGTACTTTAACTATGGAGTTTGGTGACACATTAATTAAATTTAATATCCTTGATGCCTTGAAACATCCATGTGAAGACCATCATGTATTTAGGATTGATGTCTTTAATGATTTAATTGCTGCTGAATATGTCCCAAAACTTTTAAATTATGATGATGGTGTTTAATATGAAAAATTTTCAAAATTAAGCTAAATGTTCTTTTATCGCCAAGCAAAAACTAAATTTGCTCAACAAATTTACTCAAGTGCTTAATATTTTGAATCATGACAAAAATGTTAAGCTGAAATTGAATCCGCACAACAAATTCCCTCCAGAAGAAAGAAAAACTCAGTCTGATGAATCCGTTAAGAAAATCTTGATTCCACTCAACGAATGACGGTCATTGGAAAATTTAAAATTGATCACAAGTATTAAAAATTCATGATTTAGAATAAAAAGAGGAGAAGAAAATTTCATTCATATCTAATGAGAAGTACATTATATCTAAACTTTCTTATATTACATTGATTTTCTTTGGATTTATTGCTTTAATAGGATTAGTTTTCCCTCACACCATATGCGAATTCAGTTTAAGGATTAAGAGCAAGACTCATTGGTGTAGCTAATAAATGGGCTGTAAGAGAGAGAGAGTCATATTTTGTTAGATAATTAGAAGCATAACAAAATAAGATGATATGGTAACACTAGTTTTGTAAGAATAAGAAGTTTGGAAGAAACAATAGAAGGAAAGAGAAGCATGATTGAAATTATGAAAATTGTATTACCTTTTATTCTTCTTTTGAATTTTGGATAAGAGAGAATAACAAGTAGGAAAATTAGACACTCTTAAAAAACTCTTAAAAACTAATAGGAATTCATCAAATTGAAACAAACTAAGGTAAAAGAGAATTTTAAACATAGAATTGTTGGCTATTAACTCTACAACTCTATCAAGTGTACTCTCTGGAAGATACACGATGAACAACTAATAAGAGGGTCAATCAACAATCTTTTCCAAAAGCACGATTAATTAGCAAAGTCATAATTCTTTATTATTCCAGGGTCATTCAACAATCTTTTCCAAAAGCATGATTAATTAGCAAAGTCATAATTCTTTGTTATTCCAAATATTCTCTTTAAACCAAATACAATAGGGGTATCTGATTAGTGGCGGATCTTCTAGGGACCTCCTTGACCTCTTCAAAATTTTGTAACTCCCATGTAATTTATGATTTTGGCCTCCAAACTTAATGAACATTTATTATATATTTACTTATATATTTCCAATTTTATCCTTTCAGTCTCTCCTCAATTTTGTAACTCTCATATAATTTATAATTTTGTCCCTTCAAATTTAATAATAATTTAATATATTTAAGTATATATCTACAATTTTATTCTTTCACTCTTTTTTTTTTTTATATTTATTTATTATTTATTAATAATATATTATTTGACCCTTCCAAAATCAATTGTAAAAATCGCCACTGTTTGATTAGTTCTTGAATACAATGCAGGACTTTGAGATTATATGATATATGGCCAGTGAAATTTCAATATTAATATATTTATTTGTAGCATGGTTAGTTTTGATATGATAATCTCTACTTTTAAATGTTCAAATGACTAGATTGGCATAAAATATTAAAAATATGGGAGAAGGCATGACGTTGCTAAATTTTTATTTTTAGATAGCTCTATTTATTTTTCAAAATTATGTCATCGTCTTCAAATTTTACACTCAATATTTATTTTTAGTTAGTCCACACCCTTACCCTTGATCTACTTTGTGTTTGGCATGCATAAAATAGGGAACCATAGCTCATGCTATCCATTTAGATATCCACCAGAAAAGAACATCTAGATTCAAGCTAACCATGGTAGCCAATATATAGGTTGATAGTCAAATTACAGTTATTGTCTGTTAGGTTGATAACACATACTGGGTATTTGGTATTTGACATTAATTTTACCTATTTGGTTGAGAGACTAATAAATTGTTTTTTGAAATACTTTGTTAGAAAGTATTCTTCGATTTTCCAAGAGCTTAGGCCTAAGAATTTTGGTCCCAAGGAGAAGTTTTGGACGAGGTTCCTCCAGAAAGGTTAAAGTTTACACCTCCTCTGTGGACTTAAGGTGGAATGATTACTGTTCAGTGGTGTTTAGGTATGCCATAAAAAAAATAAGATTTTATCTTTTATTTTAATAATTTACTAAAACTAAATAAAGTATTTTGATTAATTATTTGGAATTGATAATTAAGCTAAAGGTGAGGCATCATGTGACTTTTAGATAAATTCAAGAAATACAACACTAATAAATAAAAGATACAAGCTTTTAGCTTATTTATATTGGGATCTTATTAACTAGTAAAGCTTTGATGTAATCCTTCATTAATCCTCCGGAATGTGTATAGCCATCTCCATCTTTGTAAATCACATCCATCATGCGTGCAAGGTTCAGAGCACGCACAGGAAAAGTGATTGGAAGTTGA